ATCAGAACTTGTTATCTCACTCAATAATCGTTTGTAATTAACTTCTAAGATGTGGACCTCCAGGAGAGTCCAAAATACTTTATCCGTATTTTGGTTTACCCACTACTTATCTTCTTTTCCCCATTCCTATGTAAACCTTTAACCCACGTTAAAAGTTGTTAAATAAGATTCAAAGCTATCAAAATCAAAATAGATTTCTATATGGATTTTTTATATATGCCTCCTTTTAGTTAGCTTTCTCCTTATGACTGGGCAGTAGTAGCACACGCCTTTAATCCCAGCACTTGGGAGGCAGAGGCAGGAGGACCTCTGTGAATTGAGGACATCCTGGTCTACAAGAATTAGCTCAAGGACAGGCACCAATGCTACACAGTGAAACCCTATCTTGGGAAAAAAACAAACAAAAAAACCAACAACAACAACAAAACAAAACAAACAAACAAAAAAAAACAACAGAAACAAAACAAAATAAAACAATTCTTCCTATTCCTTGAGTATTTCCGTACTCCCATCTTCATCCCAATTTAAGATTTTACATTCTCTAGTTTTTCCTATGTTCTACTATTCCTGCTCCCTTAACAAACTTCCTAATAGCCCCTTTCTAGTTTCCTGGCTTCTACATATATTTGTAGTTAAATACGCAAATTCTTGAAAGTAGAATCTGCATGCAAGAAAGAGCATGTGGATTTGTCTTTGTTAGTTTGAATTGCCTCACTAAGCAAAACTATTTTTCAGTTCCTTTCATACATTTGCCTAAAATTTTCCTTAATTTACTTTGCTTTATACCCAAATAAAATTCCGTTATTTGTATGTGTCACATTTTCTTTTTCCATTCATCTATTGATGGGCATCTAGGTTGATTTCATTTCCTATCTATTTTGAACAGATCAAGAATGAAGATGAATTTATAAGAATATCTGTAGTAGGATGTAAGGTTCTTCAGGTATATAAATGAAAGAGTCATATGGAGACTCTTCTAGTTTTTAGTGAAGCCTCCAGACTGACTTATAAAGTGGTTTACTGTCCCACCAATAATATGTAGGAAATGCCGTTTTTTTAACATCCATGCTGGTGTTTTCTTCATTATCAAGACACACATATACACTTTCCTTTTGGGTTATATATATAGGCTTGGAAGGTTATGTATTAGCTGAGGTTGTAATGGTTGATAGGTGAAATCCAAGGCAGGTAAGGCAGGAGTCTCACATGGTTCTCTTAAAGGTAATTTAAACAAACAGACTGAATGCACACAGTAGGATTGCAGTCTTAAATCTTAAGTGACCTTAAGTTATATTATTAACTCTGGTTGTGAGGTCCAACAAAAGTTTCAGTCTTTTAGAATGTGAAAGGTATTTTCATAATAATGGAGTCCCACAGGTTTTGATATTCAGATTTAAATGACTTCCTCCCTTTTCTTTTTTGCATAACAGTTTAAATAGCATTGGTTTTTGTTTGTCTTTGAAGTTCTAGTAGCTTTCTGCAGTGAATTCATCTGGTCCTGACCTGTTTAGTTAAGAGACTTTTTGTTGCTGTTTTATTGCTGCCATTGCTGATTATAGATTTATTCATACTATTTATTTCCTCTGAGTTATATTTGACTCATATATATATATATATATATGTATATATATATATATGCATACACACACATATAATTTTATCTATTTCCATTTTCTAATTTTGTGAAGAATAGATTTTTTTTAGTTTTTTGCTTTTGAGACATGGTTTTTCTGTGTAGCCTTGGCTGTCTTGGATTTTGCTCTGTAGACTAGACTCACTGGCCTCAAACTCACAGTCTCTGCCTCCCAAGTGCTGGGATTAAAGGCATGACCCACCATAGCCCACCAAGAATAGATTTTGAAGGCTGTCCTCATGATTGTCTGAATTTCATTTGTACCTATTGTGGTGCCTTTTTTTCATCCCTAATTGTATTAATTTGAACCTTCTCTATCGCTATTTTTGTTATTTGACTAATGTTTTATTAGTCTTGTTTACCTTTAAAAAGTAATTCAATTGGCTTTTCATTCATTTTTTAAAATTTGTATCTAATTATTTGCAGTCTTGAATTTTATTATCTTCTTTGGTAATTGTTTGGGTGTTATTAGTTTTTGTTTGTCCAAAGCCTTATGGTGAATCAAATTGTTTAAGATCTCTCCAAATTTTTAATGTTGGCACTTAATACTATTAAATTTCCTTTTAGGACAGCTTTCATTAGTCTCATATATTTCAGTATGTTTCATATTTATTAAATTGTAGATTTTTTTCCTTCTTTATTCAGTGACCCTTTCATCATTCAATGATGTGTTATTTAATCTCAATGAGCATTGAAGTCAGATAGAATGCTAGACATGATTTCAGTTTTTCAATATTTATTGAGATTTTCTTTGTGTTGTAGAATGTGATTAATTTTAGAAAAAAAATCAATGAATTGGTTAAAAGAGAGTGTATTCTTTTCTATATAGGTAAAATATTCTGTCTATATCTGTGAGGTCCATTTTTATTTATGATATAATTTAATTTCAGTTTTTCTTTGTTTAGCTTTTATCTAGATGACTTATCTATTGGTGAAGATGGGTATTGAAGTCTATTTCTATCAATATTTTGGAAGTAATCTGTGTCTTTATCTACCAATGTTTGTCTTATGAAACTCAGTGTATGTATATTTAGAATTAATATCTTCTTCATGAATATGAAGTGACCTTCTTTATCTCTTCTGATTGAATTTGATTGGTCTATTTTATTAGCTATTAGAATTGCTATACCTAGCTAGGCGGTGGTGGCACACACCTTAAAACTCCCAGCAGTTGGAGGCAGAGACAGGCAAATCTCTGTGAGTTTGATGTCACCATTGTCTACAGAATAAGTTCCAGGACAGGCTTTAAAGCTATACAGAGAAACCCTGTCTCGAAAAACAAACAAACAAACAAACAAAAAATAGCTATGTCTGTTTGTTTCTTGGTTCTATTTGCTTGGAATAAGTTTCCCCCATCCTTTTAGCCTAAGGTAGTGTCTATCTTTTATGAAAATATGCTCTTTGAGGAAGCAAAAAGTTGGATCCTGTTATCTTTCGTTTCTGTGCACGTGCGAGCATGTGTGTGTGTGTGTGTGTGTGTGTGTGTGTGTGTGTGTGTGCGCGCGCGCGCGCATGTTTTCTATATTGGGTGGGTTTTTAAAGATAATATTTATATTTTCTTTGAGAATTTCACAGCATACACACAAAACATATTCACTTCATAGTCATTCCGGGTCCATCCCTAGTCCTTGTGACCTCCCCACTGAAACAATTTAAAAAAATCAATTTGTCTTATCTATATACTCATTGGAGTGTGGTCAAACCCCCAGTGATCTCTCCCTTAAAGAGAATTGAGTCCTTCCTCTCACGCACCCCCATTGGGAACTATTAATTGTGGAGAGGTACATGTCAGCATCCTTATCACACTTAATTAAGAAGTCTCTTTGTTGGCTTCCTGATTAGTTTGTTACATTTTTTTTGTGTGTGTGGGGGGCGGTGACGTGGTGTTTAGGGTAGGTATTGTCACAGCAGCCTTCCATGTCTCTTTCTCAACTTGTACCTGTATTCATCAACATCACTGCCAAAGTAGGTTCCTTGAAATATACACTCTACATCTGGTTTAGAGGTCAAAATTTTCTATTTTACATCTACGCATTGCTGCTCCACAGGATCTCACATTTCCATGTACATATCATGACTTCAAAAAGATTGACTAAATACTACCTACTTACTTTGTTGAATATCACAACTCTCAATGTGTGCAATGGTTAACTTTAGGTGTACACTTCACCAGATTAGGGGGTTTCTATATGAATGATGATTATACTATTTATAGTTATGAGTTTTTGTGGACAAGATGGACATTTGACCTGTGAAATGGGGAAAGAACATTTGCCCTGATCTAATGTTTTGCTCTTTCTCATTTCATGTTTCACCATTAGAACTCTGTTTCTCTAGATATTTTACTCTGAAACTTACACCAGCAGTTTCAAGCCGGGATTAAACCACTCTACTGGTTTCTTTGGTTCTCTAGTTTTGAAAAATTAGCATTTGTTAGGATTTCTAAGACTAAAAAATTATGTGAATCATTGACCTTAATGGTCTCCCTCATCAGTCTGCCTGTCATCCACCCATCCTATTGCTTCTGTTTCTCTGAAGAACATTGATCACTATGTGAACCTAGAACCAGATAGCTTTTGTCTTAGTTTTGGTCACAATATTAACAATACCAAGTATGAGCACCAAAGTCCTGTCTACCTGGTTAACTTTGAACACAGCAGGCTCTGAGCACTGTTTCATGCTGGTAGCTGTTCATGAAAAGAGCCAAGTATCACCAAAGACTGAGAAGGCTTGTCTACAAAGCTCACTGTATAGATAGACTGATCCTTGCAACCATGACCCTAGAAGGGCAAACGAGTTCTTTCCCAAGGGTGTAAAAAGACAGAAGAATGGGATACCTAGGTGAGAAGAAGGTCTTCTTTGTACTAGAATAGTGTTCTGAGACAGAGATGGGATTGTCTGAAACCTATAGGCTAGAGTTAAATAAAATCATATAATTATCCTTCTAGATATTGGAAGTAGACAAGATTGCCAGGAAAAACTTGGGTGCACGGGTGTGTGTGGGGGTGGATGTAAGGGGAGATGGGGAGAGAGAAGGGAGAAGAGGTGAATTCGGGAAAGCTTGGGGGGAATGGGACGGGTGGATGGAGGGAGGGTGGATATGGGAGCAGGGAAGTAAATATCTTAGTTAGGGGAGCCATTTTAGGGTTTACAAGAGACTCGATTCTAGAGAGGTTCCCAGGTCCAGGGAGAGGTTCCCAGATTGTTCCTTGGGCAGCAGAGCAGAGGGTGCCTGAACTGACCTTGTTCCATAGCCACACTGATCAATTTTCTTGTATATCACCATAGAACCTTCATCTGGCAATGGATGGAGATAGAGACAGAGACCCACACCGGAGTACTGAACTTAGCTTCCAAGGTCCAAATGAGGAGCAGAAGGAGGGAGAACATGATCAAGGAAGTCAGAACCACGAGGGGTGCGTCCACCCACTGAGACAGTGGGACTGATCTAATGGGAGCTCACCAAGGCCAGCTGGACTGGGAGTGATGGAGCATGTGATCAAGCTGGACACTCTGAGTGTGACTGGCAATGGGGGCTGACTGAGGAGCCAAGGACAAAGGCACTAGGTTTTGATTCTACTGCATGGACTGACTTTGTGGGAGCCTGGTTTGCTTGGATGCTCACCTTCATAGACCTGGATGGAGGGGGAAGGATCTTGGACTTCCCACGGGAAGGGAACCCTGACTGCTCTTAGGAATAGAGAGGGAGGGGATGGTGGGGAGGGGAAGAGAAAAGGGAGGCAGGGAGGAGGTGGAAATTTTTAGTAAATAAGGAAATTAAAGACAAAAACAAAAAACAAAGTCTCACATTAAAGCTGTGAGTTCACCCCCATGAACGTTCAATGTGTGACTTTACTGTGATGTGGTTAATAAGCTACTCATGTCACATTTTCTCTACCTATTCCCCAATGAAAACCATAATGAGAGAAAGAGGCTATAATAATTTCTGTGTATTTTGGTAACAGGAAATCACTCTTAATGATGATTTTTCTAAAAGCTGCTGCTCATACATTTGAACTCTGTGTTGCCATTTATAAAAGCAGCCTCATATTGAGAGCACATTAATAGTTTGAACTTAATTTTGTCAGAAGAAATAGAGTCAAGAGAGATTATGTTTCAACTTTAATATGACTGTTCAGCAACAATGTCATTATCCTGAATTCCAGATGAATTTAATTGAAACTTAATGCACAGAATTAGTTGTTTTGTGCAATTAGAATCCTATTTAAATGAGTTAGAAAATGAATACAGTGGTAAATTCATGATTTTCCTCATGAATGATTTGCTAGGCATCTTTGCTCCTAGGTTTTCTTTCTACATTAAATAAATGAATTTTCTTTTCAGTTTAATAGGGTTTTTCACTTGACAATTTTATCATCCCAGGCAATGTGTAATGCCCAGCACCTCCAAGAAGATTAGTGGGAAATAAAGCTCCCCAATGGTTGTCAGTTACAGAAAAGTGAGGAAGAAGCTCCTTTGGGCCACAGTCTCGAGCCTTTTTTATACTCTTCCATTCTACAGATGAGAAAGATACTGAACACATCTACCAGGAGATCTGGAAGGATGAGTTTCAGACACAGACCTAAGCATAAATTTTCCTTTAGCCTTTAATACCTTTGTGTCTTGGATTTCATCTCTTGACTTTTGAACCTCAATGTGTCCAGAAGTTAATGTAAATTTTATCCTTTTTTTCAGGGCTAATCATCAACCACAAGCCCTCTGATAAGCTATGCATGACCTAATACCTGGCTAAGTACTGAGCCCAATGATTATAAAGACTATTGGTAAGCATTAAATGAGAACATTTACACTATTGTTCAGTATACAGATAAATTTAAAAAAGAATAGCTTCTATAGTTATTATTGTCCTTTTTATCATCATTATGATTGTAATCATCATCAATCTTGCAACATTTTGTGCCCTTGATGTAAAAATAAGATTTCCCAGTATTACGCTAAACACTCAAGTGGAAGAAGAAAATGAAGAGACAGGGGCAGTTTGGGGAACTGAGATGGTGATGTGTAGCAATTTCTCCAAAGTGAAATATTTCTGCCCAGAGGCTCATAACATACAGAATGTTCCTAAAACTGACAAAATTCACTGTACTCTTCTCATGATTACAAAAGCAGTAAATAATTGCTCAGTATCCTAAAGAGACTCTCTGACCTGTGAGTTGACTGTCAGTGATGCAGAGTACCCCAAAGTCACTGCCTTCAGGAGTCATCACTAACATTGAAGTGAACATATTAGTAGTACAGCTGTTTTTGAGTTATTGATGCTCTTGTGAGTATGCTCAAATTAACTCATTTATTTTCTAAGTTCATCTTTGTTCACATCACTACTCTGTCATCAGTTCTGTTTCCAGAATGAGAAGACATTTGTTCACATTTTCCAAGAAATTTTGACAAACCAGAAAGTTGATGTGTTGGCTAGTTTGTTTCTTGGGAAAGAAGATTTGATAATGTTCAATATGACAGAACGGCATGGTCCTGGAAATTTCTCTCTAGAGCTCTAATGAAATTTGTAGACAAGGAAGAGACTTTTAGCCAGGAAGCAGTTTTATTTGTGATGACTCTGAATCATCAGATTCATATCCAAAGGCTAAGTGAGGTCTGAGCATAGTGGAGCTTTGTGTTATATAAATTTTTAGTTTCTTTGTCCACCTAATACTGTAAAATATATTTTAGTTGGGTATTTTACAGCTGTAGGGCTTTGTCAGTTAGGCTATATGAATGTGATACCATTGCTATGATAATGAGATAGAAATGTGATAGGGTTACCAGAGCATTGAGGACACATTCTAGCAGCTTTAGTGTTTCAGGTTTAACATTTAGGTCGTTGAGCAATTTTCATTTTTTGTTCAAGATGATAAATATAGGTCTAATGTCATTCTCCTGGATGTGCACAACCAGATTTCCTGGCATTATATGTTAAAGATACCTATTTTCTCAAGCTTCTGTTCTTGTCATCTTTTTAAAAGGATGCCATGTAAGTTGAAGTTACATGAATTCACGTTTGGGTCTTTAATTTTGTTCCACTGCTCTACATGTCTGTTCTTGTGCCAGTACCATGTTGTTTTTATTATATAGTTTAGTAATATATCTTAAGATCTGCAATGGTAATCCCTTCAGCACTGTTCTTTTTGTTCAGGATTGCTTTGATCTTTTGTGGTTCCATATGAATTTTAGAATACTTTTTCTAATTTCTGTGAAAAATGAGATGGGAGATTAGTGATGTAGGTGGGTCTTCTTTCTATGTGTTGCTTTCATTGGTTAATTAATAAAGAAACTGCTTGGCCTGATAGGTCAGAACATAGGTGGGTAGAGTAGACAGAACAGAGTGCTGGGAAGAAGGCAATGAGGAAGACGCCATGATTCTCCAACCCGAGATGGACGTAAGTTAGAATCTTCCTGGTAAGCCACCACCTCGTGGTGATACACACATTAGTAGAAATGGGTTAATCAAGACGTGAGAGTTAGCCAGTAAGAGACTAGAGCTAATGGGCCAGGCAGTGTTTAAATGAATACAATTTGTGTGTTGTTATTTCGGGTGTTAAGCTAGCCATGCAGGAACTGGGCAGGATGACAAAACAGGCCTGCTTGCTCATCACTACAGATTGGTATTTCATTTAATTTGTAAATAACTTCTGGTAAAAATGGCCATTTTCATAATATTAATTTTACCAGTCCATGAGCATGGGATTTGTCTTTCCATTTTCTAGTATCTTTCTCTATCTCTTTCCTCAAAGAATTAAAATTTTCATTGAAAAGGCTGTCACTTCCTTGGGTAGGTTTATTTCTAGGTATCTTAATTTCTTTGAGGCTATTCTAAATGTGAGTATATTTATAATGTCCTTCTTTGTATTTTTGTTGTTGGTGTATAGAAAAGTTTTGGTTTACCTTAGCTGATTCTATATCATGCCACATTTCTGAATTTATATGTTGTGTTTAGAAAATTTCCAGTAGAATATTTGGGATCTCTATTATATAATATCATTTAAATATGAACTTAAAGGTATTTCTTATCAGGCCAAAGACATCTCTGTCCAATTCATAACTGGCTCTCTGGACAGCAGAAAAATATACATGCTTCTAACCAAAATAAAATCTGTAGTTTCTGTTAGGACTCAAAGGTATGAGTCTATTCCTTCTATTTACAGATACCCATTATCTGCTCTTTTTCTGCAATATGGATTTCAATATGGGCCTAAAAGTTTCAAAAATATTATTTTCTTTAAGTACATAAATTTTAACTTCTGTTCCTACTTTAAACTTATCTCAATAGGTTTCCACTTGACTGGAAGACACATCTAAGCATCAGTTGATAATTCCAACATGCTCTGAATAACTGCAAATCCTGGACTTCCTCAAAGTTGATGTGGGCTAGTCCAGCTGATGTGAATGCTCCCTGTCTCTTCAACAGAATCTGTGAACCAGATGCTTCTGATGAGTGCCCCAATGACTGAATTCCCTCCTTACCTTTGGATAGCCTTCCAGCCTACTTGAGACCTGATGACAACATCCCAATGTCAGCTTGAAGTAGTTGCAGAAAGGAACATATCATCCCCTGCTCCTTGCCCAGAATAGGTTGAAAGGATGAGACAAGAGGGAACTGTAGGAGGGTCTTCTGTCTATGTGTAACTTTCATTGGTTAAATAAAGAGGCTGCCTTGGCCTTTTGATAGGACAGCAGCTTAGATAGGTGGAGTAGACTGAATAGAATGCTGAGAGAAAGAAAGCAGAGTCAGACAGATGCCATGGCTCTCCTCTCCAAGATGGATGCTGGTTAGACTCATGCCAGTAAGTCACAGTCAAGTGGTGATACACATTAATGGAGATGGGTTAATCTAATATGTGAAAGTTAGCCAATAAGAGGCTAGATATAATGGGCCAGGCAGTGTTTAAATGAATACAGTTTCCATGTAGTTATTTTGGGTAAAGCTAGCTGGGAGCCAGGTTGTGGGAAGTGGCCTGCCGCTCCTTTTACTACAGGAAACTCCCTGGCATGGAGGGCAAACTGACTACCTATAGTATCTGTCAATATACCAGAAAATAGGCCTAGAGTTGTCAATAGATTTATTGACTAAAATGGTCCTACAATAAAAAGATACTTTGGCTCTTTATGCAGAACCACAGAACCAAAGAGGACATCCAGGATCATAATTACAATTTGGTTGTACTCAAAAGACCAGAGCTACAGGGCCTGGTATGCTGGCCATTGCCCTAGAAAAATTTGTTAGCTAATAGTTCTTAGGCCCCAATAATATTTCCTTAAACTCATGGGCAAGCAGAAACCTTGATTAGGTCCTATCATAAGTACTTGTGAAGGGGTAAGTATAGAACCCAGCCATGATAGAGGCCTGAGTCTCAGTAGTTTTTCCTAAGGCAATATCTGGTTGTAAGAAAGACCATAAACTGAGACCACCCAGGCACTACCCAGAAACAGGCCATTCCAAGCAAATTCCTAATGTTTCAACCATTGTAGATAGGATCATCTACCAGCACACACCCATTGCTTTTCACCAGGACACTTCTAGACAAATGTCAGCCAATCAGGATTGAATCCATCATCCCAAACCTGCTAATGTAACTATTTTTATTTGTGCCTTTAAATTGTGCTCTCTAGAAGGGTGGGATACCTCTTCTCTGCTGTGGTGATGAGGTCCCTGCCTGCATATACTCGTGTACAATAATAAACCTTGTTTTTGTATTTCAGTGAGCTGGTCTCCCTGGTGGTCTTTTGGGGTACCCACAGACAGGGAACAACAAAAATAAGGGGAATAATAAGGAGAAGAAAGAAGGAGAATCAGGGAAGAAGTAGAAGAAGTAGCAAAGAGAAGAAGAGGAAGAAGAGTGAGGGCTGATGTTCATGAGGTTTCCAGTTTTTATAGACATAGTTGGAAAATTCCAAAGGTAAGGACAATGATAATATGCATTTCAAAATCACAAACAAGGCAGGTAGAAACTGACAAAACAGTAATCCAGAACAGGTTACCCAACCCAGGAAAGAGCCAGCGTTCAACGGGAAGTACTTGACATTCCAAATCATTAGATAAATTTACTAAACATCTCTAAATCCTAGATTCGCCCATTCTCCTCACCTGAAGAAGGACATTTAAAAGAAATCCCACACTAACTCAGAATTGAGTATAACAGAGGGTTATTTGTTTGGGGTAGATCATAATCCTCTGCTGGAATGGGGAACAGCAACCAAATCCTGCAGCTGGAAAAGAGGCAGGACGTGTGCTTTACATAGGCTTTTATAGTATAAGAGGCTACGTCCAAGTGGGCAAGTAACATAAAGGCTACTGGTGGTAGAAATTCCTACAGTACCTTACATTTTTGTTTAAATAAGGAAATTCTAAGCCAAATACAAAGTTATATACAATAAGAACAAATATAAGGTATAAAAATTAGAATTACAACCAGCATAAACAGTATCAAGTAAGAAAGGTAATAAATGTTTCAATAATTATCCTACCCTAATGAGTTTAAGTCTTCTATATAAATAACTTGGCAAAGTAATGAGAGGAAAGTAACTACAACTATCTAGTCTTCATTTCCACCGTAGACCTGAGAAGGGAAATAATATTACTTGTGTAAACAAGTAATCAAGCAACTTCCAAAATGTGCAACAAATGACAGAGACAGCTGGCTACCTGGGCAATTGCCCAAAGTCTCATTTGCAACATTGGAGCAACCAACTTTGGCTAAGGCCTACAGTAACTGACAAACCATTTTTAGAGGCAGGAAATTTTTCCAAACCATCTTACCCTGTCTTGGCAAGATTTGAAAGTCTTTTTTCATGTATCATGCTTTTTCATTCTGGATATCATGCATTTTGTTAGTGTTGGATGCACGGGTAGTTCCTTGCCCAAAGGCAGGTTTTGCCAAGAAGAAAACAAGTTCCAAGTGGGGTGTCTTTGGTGCTCAATATTCTCTCAGGAATAGATGGAATAATGAATTTCTAGGCTTTCTGCAATTAGTGTTGTTGTTGAATTCTAACTTTAAGCCATGATGATCAATTAAGATACAGGGGGCTATTCAATTCTTTTGTGTCTGCTAAGTTTTGATTTGTTACTGAGTATTTGGTTAACTTCAGAGAAGGTTCCATGAGGTGCTGAGAAGAGGTATATTCTTTTGTATTTGGGTGAAATGTTCTATAGAGGTCTGTTCAGTCCATTTGAGTCATAACATCTATTAATTCCCTTATTTCTCCTTTAAGTTTCTGTCTGGCTGCCCTGTCCATTGGTGAGAGTGGGATGTTGAAGTCTCCCACTATTAATGTGTGGGATTTTATTATGATTTAAGCTTTCTTTTTCATATGTGGATACTCTTGTATTTGGCATGTAGATGTTCAGAACTGAGATTTCATCTTGATGATTTTTTCCTGTGGTGAGAATGAAGTGTCCTTCTCCTTCTGCTTTGATTGAATTTAATGTAAAGTATATTTTGTTAGATATTAGGATAGCTATACCTACTTTTTGTCTTTGGTCCATTTGATTGGGAAATCTTTCCTATCTCTTTACTGTGAGGTAATATCCATTTTTGAGGTGGAAGTGTGTTTCTTGTATGCAGCAGAAAGGTGTATGCTGTTTTTGCATCCATTCTATTAGCCTGTGTCTTTTTATAGATGAACTGAGTCCATTGATATTAAGAAATATTAATTAGCCTGTGTCTTTTTATAGATGAACTGAGTCCATTGATATTAAGAAATATTAAAGATGATAAGTGATTGTTAATTCCTGTTATTTTTTTCTGTCTTCCATCTCTTGTATTCTGTTGGTTATGCTTGTATCTGTAGTTCCTGTTCATTTACCCAGCTTTTCCATTTCCAGAATTCATTCAGTTTATGTTTTCTTTATTGCCTATATTTTAATTTTCATGTTTTGAACTGTTTGTATTGTTTGCTTTACCTGTTTGATTGTTTTTTTCTTGGTTTTTGTGGCTTTCTTTGAGAGATTTATTGATTTCTTCCCATTTTTTTGTTTGTCTTTTATTTAAGGGAGCTTTTCATTTCCTCTTTAAGGGTCTCTATCATTTTCTTAAAGTTATATTTAAGGTTGTGTGGTGTTTGTTCTGTTTATTCTGGGTTAGGGTGTTCAGGTCTTCCTGTTGTAGAACCACCAGGTTCTGGTGTTCTCATACTGCTGTTTAGGTAGCTGAATGTATTCCTGCTTTGGTGCCTACCCATCTCTTCCTCCAACTGGTGCAGGTAGTGTCTTTGCTTCTTGATCCAATCCTTGTTGCTGGTGTTTGTGTCTCAGCGAATACTCTCTTGGACTAATTGTTGCAGTCGCTGTCATTGCTTCAGGGAGTTGCTCTTGGTCTGCTCTGTGTAGTCACTGTCTGTGTCTCAGGGAGCCACTGTGATCTCCAGGGATGGTGGGCTTTTGGAGCACAGTGGGACGTTTAGATTACAGGGTCCAATGTGGGAGTGTTGTGGCTGCAAGCCTATAGGCAGTTTTCCCACTGGCTGGCTTGTACAGCTGAGGCAGGTGAGGGAGGAGAACAGGGTTTTGCCCCAGGGCCTAGGGCTTAGAGACTGTGTTGTGCAGCTGAGGGACTGGACACTAACTTCTTGTTTTGCTCTGTGCAGTCCCAGTCTGTGTCCTAGAAAGCCACTGAAGTCACTGGAGATGAGTGTGCATTGGGACTTTTGGATTACAGGGTCCAATGTGTGGGTGTTGGGGCAGACTGCCTGCAGGAGGCTTGTCTGCTATTTCATTAGTACAGTTGAGGTGGGTGCGGGAAGGGATCAGAGTTTTGCCCTGGGGTCTATGTAATCGAAGGAAACTCATTTGTTTCCCAGCTACTCAGATCTGAAGTAACCACACAGAAACTGTAAAATTAAAACACCGCTTGGACTATTAGCTTATACATACTTCTAGCTAGCACTTATTTCTTAAATTAACTGATTTCTATTAATCTGTGTATAGTCACATGGTTGGGGCCTACTGGTAAGGTTGCATCTGGTGTCCTGCGTTTGTCTCCTGTGGCAGCTACCTGGCTTCTCTCTGACTCTGCCTGCTCTCTACTACTCTATTGGCTTGGAATCCCTGCCTTGCCCTATTCTGTGCTGCAATAGGTTCAAAGCAGCTTTATTTATTAACCAATGGTATTCATAGCATACAGAGGGAATCCTACATCAGGCCTAGGGTGAAGAGACTGGGTTGTTCATTTGAGGAGTGCTGGTCACTCACTGCTTGGCCTGCTCTGTGCAGTTTCAGTCTATATCTGATTTCTAAAACCTTTAAACAAATCAAAATGCAAAAGTTTTCATTGTTGTGGGAATTGCAGCCCCAAGTTACATTTCCCTGCCCCCATTTGAGGTGCTTATCTGTAAAGAAAACATAATAACTTCCCTCTACTCCTGGAGTTGGGTAAGGAAGTTTGAGTGCATGTGATCATTCCTTGATCCCTGCTGGGGTCAGGAGACAGTCCCTGCTGGGGTCAGGTGACAGTCCCTGCTGGGGTCAGGTGACAGTCTCTGCTGGGGTCAGGTGGCAGTCCCTACTGGGGTCAGGTGACAGTCCCTTTGCAGCCCCCTCCTCTTTTGGTGCCATGGTATAAAAGCTAGCCCCAGCAGAACAATAAAGAAGCTGTTCCACCTCAACCTCATGCTCTGTGAATTCATTCAACCTGGACAACCTCTGCCGAGACTTGTGGTTCCAGCCCGCACATGGCGCGGTAACTGGAGGCCCCCCCGA